CTAGCGAAGAGCCTAGGAAACAGCCCCCCGCCCCTACGTCTGATCCAAGATCGAATAGCTACCATTTTTAGGATGCTGCTAAAATAAACCAACTAACGCGCACTGTCGGTGCCGAAGAGACGCGTAGAGAGGGAGAGAAAGACTACTGTGATTGCAGACACCGTCACGCCAACGCAGCGGTTTTGTGTGAGTTAGGACGAGCGCTACCACGAGGCATGATGCCTTAAGTGACAGTAATTGACAAAGGCTGGCGAAGGATTCCTGGCTTTCTAGCTTCGTCACGCTGTGGTCCCTTTCATCGGCAAACAGCCTGAGTAGCAACGCGCCAGACACAAACCGATTTCCATAATTGCGCTACCAGCTAGGTAAAACTACCTAATTAGGGAGGTGAAATACCGACGCCTCGATTCTACTGAGGCTTTCTCTTCCTAATTTGCTCCAGTCTTTACTGTCCATAATTCCCTCGTATATCATTTTACTTTTACTGGGACGAGTAAGGCACGTCTGAGAGCTAACCTCCTGAAATCACTTCGTATGCATATTTGTTGAAGGCAACTGCACAAAGCCCCTCGGACTGCTACGATGGGTTCGACGCGAATAATGCACTGGAGCAAGTAAGAGCTGCAAGGGTTAATACTAGTCTCTGATTACGGAGCTTATGGTAGCAACTACTGATGAACCAAGCAAGCCTGCAAAATACACTGCTGGCACGTATAAAGACATTATCTACCCAATGAAGTCACTCCAAGTGTTCTTAAAACTTGGGGCCTAAAATGACAACAGGGGGCTGACCGGCCCACATCTGAGGAAGTAAATTACGAAAAAATAACAAGGCTCTTCAACGCAGTCACAAATGCCGCTTAAATAAGTTTATGACGGTGTCAAACGTAGTCTTTTCCAGTAAGAAAATACGCAGTGGTTCCGCGATCATTACTATCAGCCTGTCCTGTGGGAACAGTCTGCACGGCATAATCCCAAATGTCACGACCTGCGCCAGTACGTAACATACACAGATCGCAGTGGTTTTACTAACGTCCAGCAGACTGATTAGTCGGCATACTATGTGCACAGGATCAAACAGCCCGTAGATATTAAGGAATATTAATATTTAATTTGTAAATTACTATCGGCCAGACAGGATTCTTAGGGTTCTATACACACCCCACTCCCGAAAGCCTAAAGGAAACGGACATTCTCTAAACATTTTTGAGGAAAAAGGATATGGGTAATTAGTACAGTTGTGTATTGATATTATTTTTGTCAGGAATCTTCCCCAAATCTTAAGCCGAAATACCTGTATAGAGGTAACTTTAACTAGGGCTGCGTAGGATTCGGTAACGTTAACCCACACAAAATAAGGTAGCATTGCCCAAATATCTTACACACGGATATGCACACGAACAAGTCAGTTCAGGAAAGAGGGTAAATTTTAATGCAGGAATTTGAAGGCAGGCGCAGTTAAAAATGAAGGAACATCAGAATTATTGGTAAGAACTGACTCGAAATTCCTTAGGAAGGTCGCGAAGATGGGGATGCACAAGCAGTTCTGCTAGTGCACTTGTTAGACATGCAGGATTGTTAGCAACTGCGAAGAAACGTTTATCTGGACTAGTTTCGACCTCTAGCTCCTGCAACCAACCCCGCCACGTATAAGTGATCTCGGCTACCTAAAAAGATCAGTAAAAATTATAAGGATGCAAGTTCACATACCACTAACAACATGCACTGGCCATTACGCTTTGATGAAAAAGTTGCCTTGGGTTACTTTTGCACAGGCAAAGCAAGCATACGTTCATTTTCGTCTGTCAAAAGCCCAGAAGTGCTCTTTTAAATTGCTTAAACTGGGCGATCGTCTTTTTCCGAGTCCAATCAAAACACCATCGTTTACATTCTCCTGTACAGATGGAAGTTGTGCACTTGCTGTCCGCCTTAAAAAACGTCAACACGACCGAAACTGTCCATTCATTTAAAATGATAGACGTTAATCAACGGAAATATCTTCCGCTAGTCCACTTCTCTGCTAGAGAATCGATTCGAGCAAGGTTAACGGGCGAAGTTGTTTGCCCGGGAGGCGATAACAGTTCAATTTAGGGCCCACGAGAGTCTATTTAAATAACTAAATATGTTCGCGCGATAAGTAAAAGGATAAATGTAACCTCTACGAAACAAGAAAGTCCAATATTGCCCACTTTAACATAATCTGCGACTGTGTATCATCTGTTTATCAATTCTATAGATATGATATAGAGATGATACAGAGTCGACGATTGTGTCTGACTGGGTACTTTTGGGCCTTATTCGTTCCTATTGGTTGTATTTTTTCGTTTCAAAAATTGCGCCCAAATATTTGGTTATAGTAGTAACTATTCTTACTATTTTCTACTTCTATAGGCTTTACGTTTTTAAATTTTTTTTTCTTTCCGCTGGTATAATCCGTATTAGCACCGGTGCCGTATTACACAAGGATGGGGTTTCGCGAGCTGTAATGGGCCCTAAATTGAACTTTTACGCGGGAAAATAAACCTGATACACCATAGCCTGGTAATAATAGAAAGTTTTCGTTGGTATAGGAAAGACTGTCAGTCGACCCCTTGGTGCCTCGAGTAGTTCGCAAACTACCGGATGGCTTCCTTCCGTCAACTCCGAAAGCTGACAGCAATGCCGGCTAGGGATAGCCGGCAATAGTATTGGTCCGACTTCCATGGAGCAGGCCCCAAGTATTGGTGACGCCCGAAAAGTACCAAATTTTCAGCCAAGTTAGTGGTAAGCCATCGACATTCTGTGACTCTGTCCGCGAGATGAATGGCGGCTTTATTGCTGACGACTCAGCCAAGGTCGATCACTGGCGTAAACACTCCTAACACTTCCTTAAATTTTATGAGCAGGCCATAACATCGTCCCTTTCCTCCGCAGCGGAGTTTCTTCCCTCTCCAGCCTACGCAGTCGTGTGACCTTCCTTCCAAAGACGAAGTTGCCGATGCAATACACAGGTTGCTTAACAAAAAGACGTCTAGAGAAGACGGTATTTCAGCTGAAATATACAAGTGCTGTGTTTACATTCTGGTTCAACGAGGAGGTCGAGCAAACGTGGGAATATTAAGTAGTTCGGAATGACTAAAGTTCGGGTATCTTTATGCCAGTCTTAAAAAGGGAGATAACACGAAATTCAAGAACTATCACGATATAAGCCTCATCGACGTTGCTGCAAAGGTGTTCATTAACTGGATTTTCAGAACGGCTTTACACGGTTTTCATGTTCTGAAATTTGCAGTCGGACGCCAGCTGACTGACCTTGACTACGCCGAAGATATCCCCTGCTAACCTCAAGCTTTGATAATCTACAGTCTGTAGTGTTACTTGTTAATAAGGTGACTATATCGGTTGGCTTATCTATAAATAGGGGAAAGACAAATTTATTCTCCAGTTGCATCCCTGATCAGGAGAAGGCACCCCTGGGGATTAATGGCCGTCAACTTGAAGGAGACAGTTTTAAATACCTCGGAGCGCGGCTGCTACCCAACTGACAGAGTAAGGACCACATTGTCTCCCGAATCGATGTTGCTCGACGGGTTTTCTCAATTCTTCGAAATCGCCTAGGATTCCGACACGACACCATCGCCACAAAGATCCATGCGTACCGCACATCCGTCAGGTCATTCTTGCTCTAGGAATATGAACGCTGAGCTTTGCGCGATGAAAATAGGCGGAGGCTGGAGGTATCTGACCACCGCTGCCTGAAGACTATTTTTCGATTGAAGTATACCAACTTCGCCTCAAATACGATAGCTCGCACTCGCTGCGACAGTATCGCCGTGATATCTTAGACTATTTTAGGTGGTTTTGAAACGTTCTTCGTCGTCCGTCTCACGAGCTTGGTACAATGCCTTCTATCCGGCGCCGTAGCCCCCCTGAAGGTGTCAAAGAGGAGAGCAACTCAACACTTGGCTCGAACCTATCCGTCAAGAAATAGAAGCAGTTCTTGAACCTTCGGTTTTCGGTCTGTCGTTAGAGAAGAGAATGGGTGGAGTTTTCCAATTCCACTGCCGCTAATTGTCCCGT